CCCAGGGAGTCCAAGTTTCAAACAGAGATGCCACTTTTGTAAGAATAACGCATGGGCCTGTACTGAGGGGCAATGAGCAGGCGGAGCGGGCAGAAAAGATCTATCACATGGCTTTCCCACATTCATGCTCAATCTGCTGGTTTTCGCCATCACCGATCTCGGCACGGTTGGCTACGCATCCTTCCTCGTTGGTTCAACGTGCCAGTCCCGCCAGCTGCGCAATTCTGCGTATTTGATTGATGTGTGACGTTTCTACGGGGCTAGTGTGTTTGTCACGGCGACAGTGGTGGAAGCAACGTACTTCCAGCAAGTGGCTTGGACATCTTACATCCTTGGTTCAGCGGCCTTGGCTGGACTCTTTTACCAAACCTCATCGGTGTGCCATTTGATCGCATTCGCCACGGTGGACTTTATCTGCAGAGGCGTTTGTGTGGGCATTTCTGACCGTAAAAGGTGCAGAGTTTGAGCTGATTATTAATGTACGATCTTGATTAGTGTAGGAACCCCCCCAAACAATTCTGAGAGCATCTTTAATGTGGGATTTTTTCTGAACCTGAGTCTCAATAATGGGAAAATGAAAAAATTATAAATTTCAATTGATGTCAATTTACTTTCAATTTACTTTCAATGGTTTTCAATTGATTTCAATTTACTTTCAATTGATTTTAATTTACTTTCAATTGATTTTCAATTGGTTTCAGTTTACTTTCAATTGATTCCAATTCATTTCAAATTTACTTTTAATTGATTTCAATTTACGTTCAATTAATTTTCAATTGATTTCGATGTACTTTCAATTGGTTTCAATTTACTTTCATTTGATTTCAATTTTTCTCAATTGATTTCAACTTATTTTCAAGTGACATCCCATAGTAATCCCATAGAAAGATCATAGAAACATCATGGAAATCCCATAGGAATCCCACAGAAATCGCATAGAAAGATCATAGATATAACATGAAATAGCATAGGAACCACAAAGAAATCCCATAAGAATTCCCATAGAAATCCTCTAGAAATATCATAGAAACATAATGGAAATACCTTGGAAATCCCACAGGAATCCAATAGAAACCCCATAGAAATATCATAGAAACATCATAGAAGTTCCATAGAAATCCCATAGGAACCCAATGGAAATCCCATAAGAATACCATAGAACTGCCATAGCATCCCTTCAGAAATCCCATAGAAGTCCTCTAGAAATAGCATAGAAACATCATGGTAATCCCATAGGAATCCAATGGAAATCCCATAGACATCCTTTTGAAACCCCATAGGAATCCCATAGAAATACCATCAACACCCCATAGAAATCCAATAGTAGCACCAAAGAAATTATCATAGAAATACCATTGAAACCCCATAGGAATCCCACAGAAAACCCATAGAAAGATCATAGAAATAACATCGGAATAGCATAGGAACCACAAAGAAACCCCATGAATTCCAATAATAATGCCATAGAAATATCATAGAAACATCATGAAAATACCTTGGCAAACCCACAGGAATCCAATAGAAATTCCACAGGAATCCAACAGAAACCACATAGAAACACCATAGAAACATCATAGAAATACCATAGAAATCCCATAGGAATCCAATGGAACCCCCTATAAGAATACCATAGGACTCCCATAGCACCCCTTCAGAAACCCCAAAGAAATCCTCTAGAAATATCATAGAATGACCATGGAAATCTCATAGGGAATTCCATAGAAATCCAATAGTAATACCATAGAAGCAAAAAGCTTTAGCAAAGGAAAAGGTAAAGGGAATGTTCAAAGAGAAACGTATTCGCAAAGGAAAGGAAAAGGAAAGGAGAGAATGATTTTGGGAAAAAAATCTGCCAAAAAAAAGCTGGACACAATAGAGGACCACCACAACAAACACACTATCGAGGATCAGGGTTGCTCATGGACTGCTCCCTTGAAAAATTGTTTGGGTGCTGTTTTTTCATTGGGTTTTCATAAGGCACCCTATATTTTGGGAAATTGGGAATTTCTGAGAATTCCAAAAGAATGGAGCTAAGAAAGTAAAAACGAGAAACGTATTAGCAAAGGAAAGGAAAAGGAAAGGAGAGAATGATTTTGGTGTTCTTTTTACTTCCAAAAAAAAGCTGGACACAATAGAGGACCACCACAACAAACATACTATTGAGGATCAGGGTTGCTCATGGACTACTCCCTAGAAAAATTGTTTGGGTGCTGCTCTTTAATTGGGTTTTAATAAGGCATCCTATATTTTGGGAAATTAAACGTGTTGAGAATTACAAAGAAACCTTATAGAAATATCATAGGATTTTTTCAATAACCCAATAGTAATCTCATAGAAATACCATAGAAACCCAAAAGAAATATCATGTACACCCCAAAGAATTCCCATAGAAATACCACACAAACACCATAGGAATCCAAAGGGACACCATAGACATCCTTTTGAAACACCATAGGAATCCCACAGAACTACCAAAGACGCACCTTTAGAAACACCATAGAAAATCATACAAACACCATAGAAATTACATAGAATTTCTATAGAAAATTTGTCAAAACCGCATAGAAACGCCATTGACCAAGGAGGGGAGGCCAGGAGAATTGAACTAAGTAAGAGACAAAGGCTATAGCAAAGGAAAGGAAAAGGAAAGGAGAGAATGATTTTGGAAAAAACAAATGCTGCCAAAAAAAAGCTGGACACAATAGAGGACCACCACAACAAACACACTATCGAGGATCAGGGTTGCTCATGGACTACTCCCTTGAAAAATTGTTTGGGTGCTGTTTTTTCATTGGGTTTTCATAAGGCACCCTATATTTTGGGAAATTGGGAATTTCTGAGAATTCCAAAAGAATGGAGCTAAGAAAGTAAAAACGAGAAACGTATTAGCAAAGGAAAGGAAGGAAAGGAGAGAATGATTTTGGTGTTCTTTTTACTTCCAAAAAAAAGCTGGACACAATAGAGGACCACCACAACAAACATACTATTGAGGATCAGGGTTGCTCATGGACTACTCCCTAGAAAAATTGTTTGGGTGCTGCTCTTTAATTGGGTTTTAAAAAGGCATCCTATATTTTGGGAAATTAAACATGTTGAGAATTACAAAAGAATGGAGCTAAGAAATTACTTTGCTTCGAGTGATCCCCACCATTCTTGGCGTGAACACTTGGCGTGGATACTCGCGGTTGAGGTCCGGCAGGGAACACTGGGCGTGGATGGTCGTGGTTGAGGTCCGGCAGGGAACACTGGGCGGGGATGGTCGTGGTTGAGGTCCGGCAGGGAACACTGGGCGTGGATGGTCGTGGTTGAGGTCCGACAGAGAACACTGTGCGTCGAGGGTCGCGGTTGAGCAGGAGGAGGAGGAGAGGAGAGGAGGAGAGGAGCAGGCAACTGACATAAAATCTAACAACCCTCACCTGGCAGGTGGGAAAAAACGAGAAACAAGTATTAGCAAAGGAAAGGAAAATGAAAGGAGACAATGATTTTGTTTTTTTTACTTCCCAAAAAAGGCTGGACACAATAGTGGACCACCACAACAAAAAATTAGGATCAATATTAATCATGAAAAAACTAAAACAATTGAAATAAAAATTTCTTCAGACAACAGATGGACACAATAGAGGACCACCACAACAAACATATTATTTAGGATCAATATTGCTCATGAAAAACTAAAACAATTGAAAAGAAAATCTTCAGACAACAGTTGGACACAATAGAGGACCACCAAAAAAAAACATATTATTTTTTAGGATCAATATTGCTCATGAAAAATACTGAGAAATATTAAACAAACAACTAAAAAAGCAGAAAAAATAAATAACATTAACAACACATAAAAATATTTTAAAATTTAAAATTTGAAAATAAATAATAAATAAAAACTGAAAATGACCCCAAAAAAAATTGAAACAAAACCGACCCACCCCCTCAAATTCCCTGGGCCTGAATGATTTCAAAAAAAAATGAAACAAAAGAGGATCACCACACTAATCAGCATCCCACATTAAGCCGGGGAAAAACACGGAAAGTTGGCATCTCCCGCAGGCGGGCGGCTTTGGACGGTGGCAGAAGAATACGTCCTCAACCAGATTCCGGCCGACGCCAAAATTTGTTCGAGAAGCATTTGCGAAGGCAGCCTTAGCCATATGGTGCACAAACCCTCAGCTACATGATTACCTGGTTCGCGAACGCAAGAAATGCGCTGGAGTCGCAGCCCCCGTCAGAAAGTTGACGGTGGCTTGCTTCATGGTTGCGGAAGTGGACATATGCACTCTGGGCCATTCCGGCTTTTGCGGAGGCTTGGATGGAATTTGTTTGGTCGGGCGCAGGCTCTTCCGGCAAGACCATCATGTAAAGGCGGAGGAGTGCATGCCTAAATAGTATAATGCATGTTTTTGTTAGTTTTGGTTCAAGAATTTTGGCTCAAGGCTCAAGGATGATCGTTGACCTGCTTCGCTGGGGCGCATGCCGGCCGTGCTCCTGCGTGCGTGTTTCGGGTAAGCAGGAGCCGGCGGAGAGCGACGCATGTTTCGTGATGGTCATTTTATTTTTTGGAGTGTTGCGGGTCTCCCTGGCCCCCCACCGCTCACCTTCCGCGGCGCGTTCGGCGGACTACGGGCCCGCGGCGCGGGCCGTCTCGCAGTCGGTCGCGGTCGCGCGGCCCGGCCCGGCTGCGTTCGTGCTGCAGCCCTTTTTTCGCTGCCTTATCGCCTGCCCTGGCATCTTGACCCCTCGGGATCGTAAACAGGGGTGCCGGGAAAAAATAAAAACCATCATTATTCACCATTATTAATTAACACATATACACCATTATTATATTAACAATTACGAACCAATATTAACCAAGAATTCACCATATTTAACCCATATTAACCAATATTAGCCAATATGAACCATTATTCACCATTATTAACAACTATAAACAATTATTAACAATTATTAACAATTATTAACAATTATTGACCAATATTAACAAGTATTCACCATTATTTACCATTAACGATTTTATATATTCACCATTGTTAACCATTTTGAACAAATATTTAACCATTAGCTTTACCCACATTACAATCCATCAACAAAAATCCCATGACGCAATGGTGGCTTCAGATTCACCCCATAGCTGAGCCTGGCAGCCAGGTATCATCGCTGGTGCTGTAGCGACATGGTTCTTCACCGAGAAGCGGCGGAAGGCGAGATCTGTTTTACCCTCTGGCAATTCAATATAGCTATGGAACATTGTCATTTATAGATGATGTACCTATATTTACCTATTAAATTTGGTGACTGTCAGTAGCTTTGTTAAGTTACCAGTGAGTAAGTGATGTCTGATGTTGGACTGTGTTAATTAATTCCTATGTTTAATGTTTAGATGTTGTTGTGTTTTTGTTGTATTGTTAACAGCAAAACCAAGTTATTTTTATGATCGTTGATTCATAGGTTCAATTCTCTGCCATTTTTTAAAAGGTTGCTAACACAATTCTGGTAAATCTATATGTCATAACGGCAGTGCATAATCATGTTTTTTTTTTTTATGTCACTTGTTGCATCCAACTGTTGGTTTGGTAAACTTCACAGTTCGTGGCTGATTTCCCCGGACATTGTCACAGGCCTTGCAGCCAGTGTTTTGCCGGGCGACGTTTAACGCCGTGATTAAGCTGCTTGGCTGACTGGGTTGTCAGCGTCGGAGCCGTCGTGAGTGATGAATGTTGAAGAACACGGAACAGCAATGCTCAGAATAAAAAGTATGATAAAGATCATGAAGATCATAACATCATCATAACATATCATCATCATCATCCATCATCATCATCATCATCATCATCATCCATCATCATCATCATCATCATCACCATCATCATCATCATCAACATCATCGTCATCGTCATCGTCATGGTCATCGTCATGGTCATCGTCATCGTCATATTCGAGACCAAACGCAGTTTGCATCTGTGCAGTTTCCGCAATCCTTCAAGGTTTGCAATGCAATGAGTCCATCCCTTTGCTATGCACCATGTTATTAGTCGCAGGGTCCAGCTACCATCCTAGCTGTTATCTCCTATCCCATTCTGAAGGCATCCTGTCCTTGGTTTTTTTCAGGTTCAACTGATGGCAAAAAGGCACCGGTGGTATCCCGCTTCAGGCATTTCGGATCTTTGGCTTTTGGATCGCTGATTTTAGCAGTTGACACTGGGCCGCAGCCCGCCATAGCTCGCCCTGGTGTTGGGGCCCATGAAGGCCTACTGTTACAGTCTTCCCATCAAGTGATGAATCAAAGAATAAGGTTTTGTTAAGGGTTTTGTTAACATGCATTGACATGCACTGCACACGTTTATAACTGAATAAATATGGAATATTTAGAAATAAGATAAATAAATACATATATATATATATGCATATTATATCATATAATCATTTATTATTGGGTCACCGAACTGGGGGCGGGTTGAATCCCCCTGATATATTTTTTCTGTCACTGAAATCTCCAAGCCGCCTGAAGGTGCAATTTCTCAAGTGGCTCATGCGCTTCTCAGCTGAAGATGTGAGCCCAAAACTGTAACCTTTGGGCTCCGGGGATGACTAGACTGGCCATGCTGGCCACTGAGGTTTCCTATCAGAACAGGCAAAAGTCCGGAAGAACCGGGTGCTGCAAACCATCTTCAAAATTCTGGCGTGTTGCCTGTGGTGCTTTGAGACTCCTGGCAGCAAGAGATGGGTCAGTCATGGTCAGTCAATGTCGAGTACCGCACTGGAAGTCTGCAGAGGGGGTGATGCGCTGAGGAAGTGCCTCAAGTTTCTGAACAAGAGCCTTGTCCTATCCTGTCCTGGTGACCAGGCATGGTCCAGGTCTGATTCCGGGTTACTTGCGTTATCCACATGTATGGTATCTTATGTTTCTTCTAATCCTTTCTCCCTATTACTAAAACACCCCCCCACATGGTAAACACGGTGATTTATTTTTATTTTTAAGGGGTATTTTGTATTCGGTTGCCCTTAATATTCCAACGAAAACGTTAATAATAAAAATAAAAAGCGCTCGATTTCAATTTTGATTAAATTCCTTATTAAAATCTACTGTATATAAAATATGGCCAAAGACTGGATTTCGAAGCCTCCCCCTAATATTCCAATGAAAACCTTAATAAAAATAAAAGATAAAGCTTGTGAGATGGGACCCTAATAAAAAACTTCCAGGTACCATCATTGTTTCACCATCCTGTTCCCCTATTGATTCTCAATTACCACAATTAAGAATCCAATTGTGCCCAACCAAAAAACGAAAGTGCCACACCAATCCTATTTTTTTTTATTTGGGTGAGTTTTAGTAATAGGAAGAAGGAATTAGTTTCCACCTGCAGCACATTTCAAGGATGTCAAAAGATGTTTCTTGTGGATATGGCTTGTGGATATTGAGGCAATTCCCCACATGGAGCATGTTTCAAAGGACTCTGGCGGTTATGCAAGGGCTCTTAGGTTGGCTTTAATTGGCTTTATACTCCGGTGCCAAGGAATGCATACATCCAAGTGGCGATCAAGGGAACCAATTTTTGCACTTCAGTACCCTGGCATGGTGGGCCCCATGGGATGCGTTCAGTGGAGGGAAGACCGGGGCATGATACGGAAGTGCTGGGTTTGGCTCTCGAGGCTCAGAACGCGTTCTTCCTGATTCTACGGAACGCCATCCGCTTTGGAGCGCTGGCGATGCTGGGGTCGTTCCTATATTTCATAGGTGGGCAGGTGATTCTTGTGGTAGGAAGGTACCAAGCTTTGATGTCACTTGTCTCAGTTTCCCCTGTCCCAGTGACAGGTATCTTGGTGATCTCCGGCGCAACTGGCTTGGGAGGCCACTACATTTTTCAAGCCTTCCACCCTCAGATGAGTCTCTTGATGAAATGGAGCTCCATTGCATCCAGTAACCCCTTGAGGTTTGATGGGGGCTTGGTGGATTACATGAAAGTGGGCCGGCCCCGCTTTCAGCTGAGGAAAAAAGCCCATCTTAGTTGCACAAAAAATAGCGATCTACAGTAGCTGATTAGATTACTTAATACTATACTACAATTTATAGCAAGCAAATACAGTATGTATTAAACCAAACTAGACTATATAGACTATACCGACTATACCCGACTAGCCATCCAAGTGGTTGACCAGGACCCACTTGTGTTTCCACACAGAAAGGGCTTCACCAAAAGATAAAAGGCTTCACCAAAGGTTCCCAGAAAGTTATCCACTTAGCTAATTCGGTTTATAACTCCAATTTCACTGCTGGGTCTATGGTAGATCTAACTACTGGTTGGTGGCTTGGAACATTTTTTATTTTTCCATATATTGGGAATAATCATCCCCACTGACTAATATTTTTCAGAGGGGTTGAAACCACCAACCAGAACTAGCTATGGTAAACACAAAGCAATCAAACCAACAAAGATTTCACTGCACCATCAATCCACCCCAAGGCCCCATCGTTCCCACCATCCTTTACGTCATCCTTGGCTACCTCGTGGGCCGCCTCTTTTTGACAGTCTTTGGCTTGGCGTGTGACACCTCTTTGCAGTGCTTCATCATGGCCGAGGACGGGTGATGGTAAATCCCTGCAATAAATTGGAAGTTTTCATGCAATGCGGAAGCATGGGAAAAACCCATAAATGTTGGATTTTCCATTGCAATGTTTGATTACCTGCGGGTATGATGACTTTTGCCCCTTAAAAAATAGGCATTTATGTTTGGAATCCTCACAAGTGTGGGCCTGAAACATCTGATTTTCCTGCTTACCGGTCCACGAAAAAATATGCTCCAAGGGGGCCACTTTCCTAGGCTTTGTCTCAGCTGAGAGGAGTCGCGAATGCGTGGGGACTTTGTTCCAAGTGCATTGCAGTCCCTGATGGAGAAGCAGGACTTAGGTGACTTGAAGCGAGTTGTTGATTTGGGTAGTTTCATGCATTTTAGACTGTAGCCTTCCGCCCCCCCAAAGAGAAGATAGAAAAGCAACAACCTACTAAAAAGATTGCAAACGACTTGGCTATTTTTTTGGGGGGGCGTTAGATGTGAATGTGACAATAGTGCTGATGGGTGTGCAGTGGACAGTTGACCCCTGATGACCCAGCCCTCAAAGGTCGTTCCAAACAGGGGTGAATTTTGAGATAGAAAAGTTGATCCAATTGAATTTGATGTTTTTTTCGGGCAATTAGCATTGGAGTTTAGCCTCAAGGTTGTTTCAGTTTCCAACCCTTCGTCAGACTTTTTTTGGGTGGGTGGGTGGGTGACACATTTTGAAGGCGTCTGCAAAAATCTAACATTCGTTGGCATATGTTGGCAGCGAAATCCAGCAATAGCACGCAATAGGCAGATGTGATATAGCCACTAGATATGCCACCTTGTCACCTTCAACAGGCATGTCATGTGGAAACCACACGGCCCTCCACCAAGGCTCTGAAGAGAAGAACGGCAAGTGCTGCTGCTAAGGCAGGTGTCATCACACAAATTCAATGGCCCTATCCCAAGCAGTTTATGATAGTTTATGTAATGACATCCACCAAGGAATCAGTAAACTCTATGCCATACCAATTTTGTGTTTTTTTCCTGTTGATCCAAGTTATCCAAGGCCCATCTTTGCAAAACATCCAAAAACCTCGGCTCGAGGTCGGCAGCTGCCTCTTCCAGGACCCATGTACAGTCCTTTTGCGCGCCGGCCCTGGAGGCTGCTGAACAGTGGCCGTCTCCAAGTTGAATTCTGTGTGGTGCCCTCTGGTTATGACTAACATAGCCATGGTATAGATGGCCCATAGAAATAGACGGTTTACCGAACTTAAAAATGGTGATTTTCCATGGCTATGTGAGTCATAACCAAATGGTAAATCGAGATGCCAATTAGCTGCTGCCAGCTGCCAGCTGTCAAGGTCATGTTGGTCCGGCCGTTGCGTCGGACTGGACTTTGTTTGTACAGAATCTTATGGATCTCACAGGCACTCCGCGCTGTAAAGAGCGAAAAAAGCTTTTGGCGAAGTGTTGCTAATGCCAAGTTTCCATGCGCCTACATTTTATCATTTCCAGATACACATCATATGTTTGAAATATATTTGCATAGATCTTTTGAGTAATATAATTTTAACTTATTGTAAACAAAAAAGATATTTGGTGTGACCGAAGTTTGAGTTTGAGCTACGCCTCGGAGACGTGGAAAACGCAGACTGCGCACATCGCTGGTAGGTGGAGGCAACGAGGGGCACGGAGCACCTTCTGCAGGTGTGGCGGTGCCAGTGCTATCCTCTTTGGGGCTCCCCAAGGGGGAAAAAGGACCCCCAGCCACAGAAAAGTTGGAAACTTGACTAAACTTGGAACTGTTGGGGGAAGCATCTTTTCTTTCACATCCAGGAAAAAGCAGTCTTATCTGTTTGATTCTTTTTGGATGTTTGTACACACCAAAATTGCCGTTTGAACGGGGGAAACCTTATTTTCACTGAAACCCATTTAGAGTGTGGATGGCACACCTTGCTGTGGATGGTTATTACTTACCAGCAAAGGCTTCATCCTTCCATTCCTGCAGTTTGCACTTCAAAGCCCTGCAGTTGGCACATGCATCACTAGGTCACTAGTGTTCATTTCATATCATGAAGATTCAGCATCTCAGGCAAATTCCATGAAATGTCCCCAAGCATTTCAGCATATGTCAGTTTCACCCCAGCCACACTGAAAGTTCACAGCTCGACTCTCAGCCCTCCAGCCTCCCTGGTTTCCTCGTAGCACAAGGGGTGAGTCGTGTCCCATGGCCGAGCCATGTAACGCCCATGTCCTCGACATGGGAGCGCCCTCAAGCGACACCTGGGCAGCCCGTCCAGTGGGAGGGGTGAGCTGAGCTAGGAGTATTCCATATGTGTCCTATTAGCATCTGCCATGGGAAGCCAGTTAGAGCTACCAAGTTACGAAGACTTTTTCTTCTTTTTCTTCTGATAGTTGATGAAACTTGGGAAAAGTCGACCCCACTGAACCATCTTGAATCATATTGATCTATAAAAATATCCGTGTGTGGTAAATGATGACAGATGGCGTGGCAGAGTGTGGCAAACTTGTGCTTGGGTCCAGCTTGTTGCCATTGGTCTTGAAGTTTGGCGAGTGTTCATTGTCACAATCACTGCAGAAGAGATTTGACGTCTGGCGCCTAAATGGTTGTTGCTAACATCCAAGGCTTTTCAGGCTGCAATACTCTCCCCCAAAAAAATCCTTAGTGACCACCAGAGAAAAGAAACTGGCCCAGCCGAGGCAGGGCATCCCTGCCATGAATCCCTACTGGCGCCTGACCTCCAATCCCTACGTCTTCACTCCGCCACCACCGCCACCAGCACCTGCGCCCGGTGGAGCTCCCGCTGGAGCTGCAGGAGCCGTTGGGCCCTACACGGATGGACGGAACGGCGCGGTTGGGACGTCACCATTGGGGCTGCAGACCTGTAGCAAGGCTGGAAAAATGGGCACAGTTGAAGAGCTTATGGACCGGCTGCAGACCCAACTTGGAGATTTGGGCTATAGCCATGCAGTTTTAGTTTCAATATGGTTTAATGTCAAGTGAAGTTGATGGCCAGGTGTTGCTTGCTATTTCCAAGTATGTGTTGATTTTGCTGTATAGCGAATAGCCACACAATAATTATTCCCAATATGATCAATATTGGTGTGCTTAAAAGGTAGGGCAGCCCACTCTGTCCACTGGATTCCGCTGGTGAATCATAAATGTAATCCTGTTCCCTATTAAACTTGCATAACAATCATCATACTTGGTGGGTAAATCCATATTTTTCAGGCATACCCCATATCATACGCCCTTCTGATGACTCAACCTGGGTAGCCTGCCGCAGGCTTCAGCACCGGCTCGTGTGGTGCGTGGCCGGTGCGGACGCTTTGGAAGTCAAAGCTATTTGTGCCTTGCTGTCACCGCTTGGTAACCCCAGTTTATGGGACTTACATGGACTTACTAACCAGGATGATCCTCCAAGCGGGGTGTCTTCTCTCCGCCTTTAGTATAATGTGGCCGGGTTTGTAAATAGGGCAGCCCCAAACAATCAGATGGTATCCCATCATGCATCATCATGCCCATTAAAACATTCGTCGCCATTTTCGGATAGTTTCGGTATACGGTATATCATGGTGTATCATATTTGTTCATATGTGTGCATTTTAATTTTTTCAAATATTATATGACATTATATGGTTATATGATGTTATATGCACATCATACATCATCATACCACATGTTCCGGCCAACAAACTTCCACCAGGATCCATTGAGACCTCCTTACCACTCCCGTCGCATCTCTGAGGCGTTCGGTGGGGGATTTGGACGAACCCTTCGGGCGCCTGGATGCGAGCCCCGAGGAGAAGGAAGTGGCTGAGTTGTTGGAGTCCCTGCCACCGCACCATCTCAAGGCCAGTTTCTGGAGATTTTGGATGATTTTGGGGCATGTTGAGCCCATGTTTCATTCAATAAGACCTTCCAACAAGAAACGGCCCCATGAGTCCCCAAAATGAAATATCATGAATAACTTCGATACTCACTTTGCTTGTGGTATTCAAGAATGGTAGGATGATGTCATGAACAACTCATAGGCATCAGAGTAACATGAGTAACAATATTATTATATGTGTATGTTTGTTTGTCTGGTTGATGGTGGCAATTTTGTCTTGTTTGAACAATCAAACCCAATGTGGTTGGAAGTTGTGGGATGATTCTGGCCACTGTCGAGCCGCGTGGCTTTTTGCTGGTTTCGGGATGGAAGACTCAGTGTACCTATGTCCCCCTCGGGCAATCAAATGCGGCAACGGAAAATCCCTTTTTGAAGGAAGGTGTTTTTTATGGGGAAAATCATCTATAGATGTTTTCGCCGATTGCAAGAGGTATGCGTTTTGCAGATTCATCATTATGCATCAAGGAAAGCTGGCCTGTGACAATCTCAGCTGGATGTTGCCATTTATTAGGATGATTCAGGGACCTATCATCTGACCTATGCTGCATATAAATACACCCCGGTGATTCAATCTAGCTATAAAAAGGGACCATTTAATTTAGATCGATGATTCAAACTGGTGATTTTCCAGTTTGCACTTATTTTACTGCATGGTATCCCACTTGTTTCATTTTTCCCCATCTCTTGCCACGTTTTTGCCACGGTTTTCTGCAGGAAAACTTCGCGGAAAGTGAGCCCTGCGCCGTGTGCCGCGACGTGATGCGCTGCGGCGACCTGGTGCGTCGCCTGCCGTGTCTTCACGTCTTCCACGCCTCGTGCATCGCGCGGTGGCTCTGCGTCAGGGCCACGTGTCCCTTGGACAACTCCAAGGTGCTGCAACAGCTAAGACCGACGGAGAGGATGGAGACGGAGAGGATCCAGGTGCAGCTCTAGTTGTGGATGGGTGGTAAAAGGTGGTAGCATTTATATATATATATATATACATATATATTTATATATGTGTGTGTATATATATATATTATATTTAGTGTTTTTTTAGTATGCGCAAATGGGATTAAATGATTATTAAAGGATATTTACTAACCAGCTATAAGGGTATTTTTGGTTGGGTATCTAAGATTGGGAATGCCCAGTGGTTCAGGTGAGTTTTTGTTTTCTCCCGGGGATGCTTCAAACACTGTAGATATTGTATGCCTGAGAACTACGCATTGGTGAAACGTTTTCATAACGATCAAACTCTGTGTTTCTTGCGACAAGCTTGAACCCATGATGTGATTTGTTTTGTTTATCATTCAGAATCATTCATATCGTTGTGTCTCTTAATGATCTTCACATTGACTCAGGGTGTTCCATTCATGGCCTCCTAGGCTCCTCCAGCTCCCAGTCCTAGACAGCCGGCCGTGGCTCCGGCATCACCGAGTTCCTCGCCCTTGTACCAACCCAGCCGCTCCCCAAGCCCTGCTACCAGCCGGGGCCAAAGCCCGGGGGCCCCGGGCCCCAGCCCGGCTTTGGGCGGCTCCACTGGCGGCTCTGAGCAGCCGTTAATGCTGGTAGAGTAGCGATGGGCAAATTGGGCAAAGACCCCCGTTTCACCCCTGATCCATATACCAATTGACGACGAGGTGTGAAAAATGAGGCCCGAGTTCAACATGCGTCAGAAGTGTCAACATTATTGGAACAAGCCAAGGGTTGACAAACCCATGTTTGAATGCAGTTTGCAACACAGTCTTCGCAATTGACAGGTTTAGCTTTGCATGTGCCTTCATGCTTGAGTAATTAAATCGAATGCTCACATAGAATATCTCCTGCTAGCTCCTGCTTATCCCAGTTTTTACAAATGTGTGGATGTTATTCCCTGGGCTGTTGTCCAACTGTTGTCCAAGCTGTTTTACATATCTTTGGTAAACCTGCAAAACTATAGGCCATCCATGGCCATCCCCAACGGCTTACCAATTTCTTTTTTTGTTTAAATCCTGGGGTTGAAATCATCACCACATGAAATTTGGAGGGTCACCCCACGAATCATAACTGGCTACTAAGATATTCGTAGGCCGGCCATTCTTGGGATTATGCCATGTGTCACTGCGTGATAAGTTACAAGTATGGCAACGTGGTAAACCCAATGATATACAATCCCATTAAACAATCATGACTGGTGGGTGATTTTATTCTGTCCCACTACTAATAATGGTATACCCAAGGTCATAAACCTATATTTGCGATGGTTATCCTCTAATTGTTCATTGTTATCCCACAACCACCCCATGATTATCCAATCAGTATCCCAGATCATCCCATTGATCAGTGGTGACTATGGGTGGTATTGGATTTACCACCTTAACCACCGAATCATGCATTCCCAGTTGGTTAAATCCCATGAATATCCCATGGTATCTCCACCTATTCTATCACCTACGTAGCCCATTAGTCACCATACATATTATATGTATAGTAATGGGTAAATGGTGATAATGATTGATAATCTAGAAATAAAATCCCATTAATCACCATAGAAAATTAATATGTTTATGTCACATGAAAATCACCATACCATACACATTCTCTTTCTTGATTATCACTCATTTTATCACCATTAATGGGATTAATCCTGGTTTGTGGTTTGGAACATGAATTCTATTTTTTTCATTGGGATTCTCATCATCACTGACCAAATCATATTTTTCAGAGGCGTAGGGTTGAAACCACCAACCAGATAACAATTTATAACTATTAATGACCATTAATGACCAATAGCCATTAATATCATCTACCATCTGGCTATTTAACATAGCCATGGAAAATCACCATTTTTTATGGGTAAACCATCTATAAATGGGCCATCTATACCATGGCTATGTTAAATAACCAGAGGGTATATCCATTTAGAGATGATTTACACCTGAAAAATGGTGATTTTTCATGGTTATTATTTTGGTTTAGTGGAGGGCAAGATGTTACCAGTGGAAAGACCATTAGGATTCCACATTGTTTCTGATTTTTTTTTGGATGACTAGTATGATGCTATGATTTTTCTGATTTGTTTCTGATTTTTACTGATTTGGTATGAGATCACTCCATCATCACTGGCTTCCCTGGTGAATCGTCTCGTGGGATCCAGGCGCAACGCCTGAGCCGCTGGCTCCGAAAGCTGCCGGGCGGCCGATGAAAGTTTTGGGATGCCAGGGCGTTCCTGGATGTTCATGGTAGTAGATGAATTTTAAGGGAAATTTTCAAGATTTTCAGGGAAATTCATAGAATTCCATAGAATTTCATAGAAATTCTCTAGTTTAAGGCCAAATTTTAATGATTTTATAACTGGCGAAACATTAACCCAAAATATGGTAACAATGAATGGTAGATGGTCAACATCCGAATTAGTTTCTCCCATTATTTGCTGGATTTTCTTACTCTGAAAATATCAGAAAATATGGCGTTGTGACACTTTCAGGTTGGTCCCCCAGATGTATTTCCCGCTGAATTTAAATTATTTTAAAGTCTAGGCATGGCATACCTTAGCATCCTGAACCATGTTAAAGGGCCTTTTCCCTTCCGATCTAGTGGTTAAAGGATTTCTTGTCAAACATGTTGCATGTTTATGTCGAAACAGGCTCCTGTGAAACCCACACTGTACGTGTTCACTTGTTCAGTTCCCGGTCACAGAGCCACCAAAATAGATTTTTGCAACTAAGATAATTATTGCAATATTAATATAACAATATGTATATATATATATACTGCACAATTTACAACATCCCAGAGAAAACATCACAGAGAAAATGACCACCTTTCTTTCTTTCTTTCTGGCCGTCCTTCTGGGTTCCAAGCCACAGAGTCAGCATTTCCGAGGCCAGATACACACCGTGGTTGGATCGTAGTTGTGGATGAGGCCTGTCCTTTCAGTTATTCCACAATAAATATTGGCAATTCAAAAACCATGGGAATTATGCTATTGGAATGACGGAATTTAAATAAGACTTGTCCACTATGGAATGATTATCATTGTCAAAACCATGGTTTATTTGACCTTCTAATAGCCTTTATGACCATGTGACATGTGCAAGAAACATGTGAAGCTGAAATGAGGCGAAACGCTACTTCAATACGCACAACGATTGCAGTTGAAACGAATTGATTTCGTAAACCCAATGCCATAGACCTATCATTGGGGGATGGCCTATACCACCCATTTCTGGTGATTTTGGGGTTGGTTTGTGACATTGGGTTTACCACACTAAACACTAAACGGACAGGGTCAAGTACTGTCAGGCGCTCTCGGTCTGGCAGCAGCGCTTTGTACAAACAGGCAGGGTTTAGTAGCGCTGCCCCTGGGCCACTACTGACCCCATCAAGCAGAATGCCAAACGAGGATATGATGCACTGCATAAACGGGCACTACGTATCATATTTGTTCCGAAGGTATCGCACATTTTTTTCATGTGCATATTTAAACGATTCTAAACTTGCACGCGTACAGAATATAAGTGTTTGCTTGTCTATTGTTCTTTTCCATCTGTAAAGGGGAACCTGTTGGAGCCACTAGTCATGGAGACCCTGCTTTCAATCCATACCTTATTCTGATGATGGTAGCATGGTCAGGCCGGCGTTTTCCACTGCTATCACCAGCTTGCATCTCAAAGGCGCGGTATCCACTGGAAATCCTTGGAACATTTTGGGATGCTGCCATGAGGGATTGGACCAGCTCCATCCGTAAAGTCAGGAATCATCATCCAATCAAATTATCATTCTGACGGCTATATTATATATATGTGTGTGTATGGACATATATTATATACCCATCCATCCAGAGTTTCTGGCGAATTTTCCTTTGGACCGTTTCTGTATCGGCTTGGTTTCTCCTCTTGGATTCCTGGCAGTTCCTGGCAGGTGGCGGCCGCCAATGGTTTCAAGCCTTTGCCTCAGAGAAAATGTCATGGTAACCCAATGACATGCCAGGAGATCCTTTGGTTCAGGATGATCCAGGTGAGTTTTAGAAAGAACACTTGAGAGAACAACTGTGGATTTTTCATAGCTGTCCTTTTTCCACTGCTTGGCTAGTAGATAGAGGAGGTCACCCTTTATGAATAAATCATTCGAAATAACTCCTTCCCCATGTTGAATGCCCCCTAAGCAACCCTGAATTAGGTTTCGATCATTCTATCTATTCATCGTTGATTTAGGTTCCTTTCTGCAGGGTGGGCAAAACATGATCGGGGATGGGACTATCATAATTAATCGGACTATGATCCCAGTACATCCTCACATATTTATTTATATATATATAATTCTAACCCCTTGTCGCCCAAACTGAGAAAGTTAGCGCATGCCACGCAAATATCGTACTCCACATACCTGAGCGGGAACGCACTCCACAAGTTTAACACACTCTACAAATCTAACGCACTCCGCAAAGGTAACGCATACCATGCAAACATCGTACTCCACAACACTCAACATATAGTGGCTCTAGGCTATCCACGGGAACAATGCATACCTGAACTTCATCGCCGATCATGGCAGTGCCTGGACAATACCCTTAAACTTGAAATAGGCATGCTCAATCTGCATACCTGTGTGGGAACGCGCTCCACGAAGTTAACGCATACCGTGCAAACATCATACTCCACCTAGTGATCAAGGTTACCTACAGGAGTAACTCATACCGATGCTTCATCGCATACCATAGGATGGACGAATACCACCAATATACCGCCTTTCAGGGTACTTCAGCCATTTTGGCTTGGAGTATGGCCAGCCTTGGAATATGGCTAAGATTCTGGTAGAATAATATTGCATACCTAGACATCCAATCGTACTAGAAAAAAAATCCCCCCCATGGTTTCGTACTAGTTTTCATGAAAACGCGTGAAATATGGCAAATCGTTCAATTTTTGTTAAAATAGTGATCTTCGTATCGTTTTTTTGAAACGTATTACTTTTTAGGGGCACCAAGCACAAACGGTCAGAAAAACAGAACGCAACTCGAGCGCAATTTGAAAAAGTAGTAAGTACACTTTCCAAAAATACACTAGCAAGATCGTTTACTTTTTTGGAAGGCGACCACTTTTTTGTGAAACGTCATCGAAATTGTTGACACGTCAACTTTTCAATTCGTGATACTTTTTTCTAGTACAAATGGACGTCCAGGTATATATATATATATTATAGCTTCAGTGAACTCCACATCCATTCCCCATAATATCCGCATATTATCCCCATAATATCCACCATGATATGTTCCCATTATATCGCCATTACATCACCATTTCTCAGTTCATTAACTCCCATATCATCCCAGTTCAACGCCTGCGTCCGAGCGCTAGCAGCTCCCAGCTCCCAAGGTATCGCATTACACCTGGTACCAAGTGGTGTGGCGATGGAGGCGGGGATTCCGGGCCAATGCCGGGCCATTGACATGACATGTTGAAACATGATAGGATGTAATGGGATTTAATATCCCCTCAACTACATAAGGTCTAGAGTACCCAGGCCTCCAGGCTTCAGGGGCCCAGGGTCTAGAGTACTTCCAGGAGCACTGTAGACCCTCTGCATTTAAGGTACTATAGACCCTTGAGCGTGTCTATGTTGGACATGATATATGGATGTCCCATAATTTTCAACTTTGAAGATGTAAGGCAGATCTTGTTTTTTCAAAGGTCTGGACAGCTTTTCTGGCAATCATCAGGACAGGTTGGTTTTGCTGACCATTGTAGCTCTAGACCTTTGCCAAGCTAGATTCCAAAGTTTGTCCAAAGGTCTGGACAGCGTTTCTGGCCTTGATCAACAGAGATTGGTTTTGCTGGCCATTGTGTTTCTAGACCTTGCCACGCTAGATTCATAAGATTTCATAAGATTTTTCCAAATTGTTATTCATAAGATTTGATAAGTTGTTTTTTCCAAAGTGTTATTCATAAGATTTCATAAGATTTTTTTTTGCAAATTGTTATTCATAAGATTTGATAAGATCTTTTTTCCAAATTGTTTTTCATAAGATTTCATAAGTTTTTTTTGCCAAATTGTTATTCATAAGAGTTCTTAAGATTTTTTCCAAATTGTTTTTCATAAGATTTCATAAGATTTTTTTCCAAAGTGTTATTCGTAAGATTTCATAAGATTTTTTCCAAATTGTTATTCATAAGAATTCATAAGATTTTTTCCAAATTGTTATTCATAAGATTTCATAAGATTTTTTCCAAGTCTTATTCATAAGATTTGATAAGATTTTTTTCAAATTGTTATTCATAAGATTTCATAAGATTTTTTTCCAAATTGTTATTCATAAGATTTGATAAGATTTTTTCCCAAGTGTTATTCATAAGATTTCATAAGTTTTTTCCAAATGTGAAAAACTTGTGACAGCAGCGAAGAAAAAAATGAGCGAGAGAAAACATGTTGTTTGGAACATGTTTTTGGTATTTTTGACGCATGGGTAAACGTCTTCAGACCTTCAGCATCTGTAAGGTCGAAGGGTCTAGACTATTGAGATTGTTTTACGTGATTTAGCTATGTAACTCTTCTTCAGACCCCGTTTTTAGGGTCTACAGTGTAAGATCCAGGGTCCCTGCCAGGTAGCTGATGGTATGATTTAATGATATTTAATGGATGTATAACTTGTAACTATGATATATCATTTCAATATACAATATTATATGTAATATCAATTGGTAGCATTATTTGTGTGTAATAGTAATTGTCGTCGTTGTACAATGTTGTACATCTACCGCAAAAAAAAAGTGACTTTGCAATGTGTTTGTCAAATGCCGGCGCGAAACCAATGAGAAAAAGGTCTCTGATCAACCCGCTTACAGACCGGGTATGGCCTCAAATTTCCTGGAGTCCCTGCTTGATAATTCACAGAATCAGATGGGCTCCCACCAGAAACAAGATGGAACCTTCAAAAATGTCCAAGATGAAATTCCTATTACTGTGTTGCGTTTCCAGTGGGTCCAGGTTGATTTTTTGGGCGGTTCGCCCCTAGCAATTTAACAGTTTGCAACATGGAACGTCACCATTTTCAATAGGTAAATGTACCATCTATAACAATAGCGAGATTAGCTATACCTGGACCTTCCAAAAAACACCAAAAAAATGGTAAGAGTAATTACAACAATTCTGGGGCAACACAACATTTTGATCTGTACAAACGGAGGGTCCTAGGTAAGTTTAGGTATCTTGAATTATTGGAGGGTACCGCTGATCCTTGCTCCATGGCTTCACAGGTTGGAGCCATTTGGATTTCTTCCCTGTCCTGCGCCCGCGAGCCCAAAAAAGGGCCCTAGACGTTCAGGTTGAACGTGTGAACTAAATGCTGTGTGTTCTATCAAAAATGGTGACTTAACCAATAAACATGATAGAACTGAGGACACACACACACAGATATGCATTTATTGTTTACATATATACATATACGTATATTTATATATATTATTCTTATTATTATTATCATTATTATTATTATTAATATTATTATTATTATTAATATTATTATTATTAATATTATTATTATTATCATTATTATTATAATTAAATATATATATATATGTGTGTGTGTATCGTAGTGGGATGTAATTAAGTGGGACTGAGGAATTTAGATGGGCAGGAGGCCACGACAATCATCGGGATTCAACCCGCTGCCAGAGGTTCTGGGACCAACATCCCAGCAGACAAGCGAGTGCCCATTTGCATCTCCTACAACCGCAATGGCCGGAGCCCCGCCGTAGCTGTTGGAGGTGATTGAACTTTGGACCATTTTTTTCTGAAAGTTGAGGCTACTACTACAGCCAGGCCCTCAGCTTGGCCCCAGCATCATCCAGCATCTCCATCCGGATGTGACGTCATGACTTTTTTTGTGCCACATATTGCCACATCATCTCTCAGCACCTGGGGCCGTTGATTTTCTGCCAGCCATCACAGTTCCATCATTTCCTCTGCGAAACATGTTACACCAAGGATTTGAGAACTCCGTGAGGGGCTGTGTGGGCAAGTCCATTCCCCAGGAATGGCTCCTGCGGAGCCACTGAAAAGGGTTTACTGATATGGGCATGATAATGACCCTTAGTCTCAGTTCCACCTTCCACCTTATCCACCAAAAAACGTAGACGTACCCAAGAAAAAGATAGAAATAGTTAATATGATCAATGTAACCAAACAGAACCACATATTTTTTGTCATCAATGACTTGGAGCCATTGCAGCATGGAAACTTGCTCCCGGGAAGTGGCCAAGGAAAGAACTTTCTGCAGGATCAGTGATGAAACACGCCAATATGTTTCAAGCCAAGAATTGAAAAGTTCAACCCTTACCCTCTGGTTATGTCAAAATAGCTATTGAAAATGGCCATAGAAATAGTTGATTTACCCATTTGAAATGGTGATTTTCCATAGTTTTTTGTATGTTTACCAGAGGGTACCTGGCGGACCTGGCGCGGGATTCTCAGGCACAAACCCACCGGAACGCAGTGGACGCATGTGAGGTCCTGAGACGTCCTGGACAGGGCTGGCATAGATCGTCTGATGGGTGGATTGATAGGTAGAAGAGAAAGGACGATATATAACACAAATAGCAAATATAATATAATATAGTATAATATATTACAATATATAATATTGTATATATATAAATATATGTATATGATTTATTTACTTTAGTTAGACCTTATAAATTAAACATGCATATGTGATCAGAAGCGGTCCCATGGACATCGAGGCGCAGACCATTTACACCTCGCGCGATGCAAATGGCACTGCCTACTGCGCAAGGAACTCGGAGATCTTCAGCAGTGGATGAGCCATCCGTGTCAGGTGGTATGCATTGGTGGCATGTTTTTGCCACGTTTCAGGGGTAAAATTCGCTGAGTGTTCATGCATGTTCATCCTTTCTGTTCCAAGCTCTCGCCGAAGCAATGACGGCAATGATGCAAACAATCCTCCGCATGAAACATGACTCTTCGTGCCCAGCCTGCTGTGCGTGATGAAACGTGCTCTGTAGCTTTGCAGCGTTGCATCGCTGAGGTTGGGATGAAGGAGGCTCCGCTGGGTGGACATGACTCTTGCAGCGTCCGACTCCGCATTCCTTTTGTTGCCACCCTCCAAGTACCTCCAAAAATGGGGCCCGTTGTTTTGGGACTAGTTTTTATGGGGGTGGGCATTTGGAGGATCTAAGTCTAAGTAGTTGTTTGAACAGGTTATTCCTGCCTGAATCACCTGGTTTTCTTGATGAGTCAGTGGCAGTTGCAAAACGCATCCTCTCGACTCGCAAGGCCGGCGAACACACACGCTGGACGGTGCAAAAAGCGCAAGTCTGTGCTGATGGCTTTCGACACAGTGCCCTGGCTGTGCATAGCAGGTCTGGTCTGAAAGTATGGGTACCCCCAAAAATCATGCGCAATATGAGTACCCTGGTGCCTCCCCCACGGTTGATAATCATTTTCCATCATGTTCCATCATTTTCCATCATTTCCCCATGAAGATAGCACTATGCGGTATCCCCCATTTTGGACAAAGCCAAATGTATGGGAAGAAGCTCTAGTCCGATCTTTGCAAGATGATTCGAAGAGTATATAGCTCATGTTTTGATATATATATATAGCCCACAGATACTAGACAGACAGAACAGAACAGGAACCAGAACCAGAACCACAGACAGACAGACACATAGACAGCCAGCCAGGCAGACAGGCAGGCAGACAGAAAAGTAGATGGGCAGGATTGCTGTTTGAATAGATAGTCCAGCATTTCGTGCACAAAAAGCAACGGTTTCTCGTAGACTTTGCCTTAAACTATCGAGGTGGATGTCACAAGTTGATGTGCAAACAGATGTGCATCTTCTCACAGAAAGTTGTTCCATCTTTTTCCAACGCCCTGCAAAGAAAGAAAAGGCAATAAATCAGCATAAATGCAGCCCTGAGAAAAATAAGCCAGAAAAATCAGCAGACATTTTTCATAATCATCAAATGTTCATTATAATGATAATCACATCATAACTGAGCAATAAATCATCACTAAATCACCATAACAAACTTCATGCCTTCCACGACTGATACGACTGGAGGCTTTGGATTTCGCGCGATGCATAATGACTACACTTCGCCATTGGTGCCGTGCGGAGCCCCGGCGATGGCCCCGGCGATGGCCGGGGGCCGGTGCTTGCGCAGCGCGGCTGTGTGCACATGCATTGGCACTTTGAATCATTCTGAAGTAGGTACTGTAGAAATCTATAGAATTCGGAGATCTCAATATATTTCAAGCTTATTGTTCGGATTTGTTGAGGATTTTTTGAAAATTCCATGATCATGTTCTATCTTCTAGTTCCTTTTTATAGGGCGACTAACTCTTGGATTTGTAGCATCCGTTTTGCAGCTCTGTCAACTGAGGTGTTGCATTCTGGTGGTCAGACTCTGAGGGTCCCCTTTACCCATTGGTTCATATAGGAATCCCAGTTACCAACTGCAGAATTTCGCAACGCGCGCATTGTTTATGGTGGTTCATATGCACTGCACCAGTTGGTATCACTGATATCATTATGATATCATGTCCTTATATCGAGGCTTTAAACTCCCAGTTGGGCTCCAAAGAGACTCCGCTCCAACGTGCCGATCTCAGCGCGTACTGGGCGTACCGGGCGTACCGGTGATCCTTGCCGTGGTGGCGGGGAGTTCAGGCTTTGCTGCGGGCAAGGAATGTGAGACTTCCACGGAGTGGAGGTGCCAAGGGGCTACGGTGGCATTTTGTTTGTGGGGGAACACCAATCAAGGAGAGGATTAGAGTATAATTAATTAAGTATATACTATTAGTATCTATTAGTAGTTCGCATGTCAACACGAAACATGTGTATGATTAAATTGATTAATTAACCAAGAAATTGTGCTGGCCTTTATATGGCATGATTTGGTGTTTGGGTGAAACATGCTGTGGCCCATAGACCCGCGGGTTGACTCATTGACTAGTTGTGTGTACATACTATACTTTCAAACCATTCACGCAGGTGTAGTTGAGGGTTGCGGAAGCTGGCAGCACTTGTGCCCTAGGGTGGTGTACAAGCTGGTGCTGCTATCAAGGCCAATTGATGTCTCGACCTTGGATGAGTGTGGCAGGGAGGTGGGACCAGGTGATTCCTTGTACTTTCAAACTGGAACTGGAAGATGAAAGGATGGAAAGGAATGAAGAAACCTCAGCTTTGCCAAACCATTGCAAAAGCGTCATTGTTGCCTTTGATGTTTACTTTTGGGTGGTTTTCTGACAAAACCGTTGAGCAAAATTACCTATGAGACTCCCACAACAAGTGATGGATGAATTCCACACGAAGATATGACTTGAGATGTGCTATCCGAATGGCTTTCTTGGCGGAATATTTGACAGATAGAGCTCAACTTGAATTCCATGGATACCTAGACCCCCGTTTGTACCCACACAAATTATTGGTGTTTTAATTACCCCATAACTGTCGTCCTTTTACCATATTTTGGCGTATTTGGAGGGTCTCATCATCCAACTTCTCAGCATTGACCCGCTTCGCCTTGGCTCAAGAAAACAGGGCTGGCCACCGGGTTCGCGCGTGGATGCACGTGTGACCGGTGATTTGTTTATCCGAAACGACTCACATGGCACGTCCATTTAGACATGTCACTGATCAACTTAAATCATTTTGGGGTTTCCCAAAATTACAATGTTTCCACTGATGCATGCTGATACAATGATATTATGATCTAATTATATAATGTTGGTAAAGCAATAATAAACAACCCATAATAATTCTGATGGTTTCTAGCACCCATCTATGATGGTTAGTTGGTGATGGTTTATGAATGCTCTACCAACAATACCAAACAGAAAATTTGCGAAGTGCTGTGCAACAGATTTCTCGCACATCATCTCTAGCATAAAACACCGGCCCAATTAGCAGCCATGGCAGGATGGAAGGACCACGTGGGGGCGATGAGAGTTCCACAGTCAACAACTATGGCTGGGAAATCCACTAAATGGGCATTGATCACATGGGAATAGAATCTAGAAATAGAATCTATTAAAAAAAAAGATGAATATCTATTGTTATATGTTAATGCATCCTTATTTTCGAAGATGTCATGTTCAAATCATATTCAGGATTGATTACGAATGATCCCAATGACATAGTTAGGTTGGAGTGGTTGAAAGAGCCTGGCAGCCAAGCAGTTCAACTGTGGGTAATTGATCATTGGACCACTGCAGCAATCGATACACATTCATACCATCACATTGATACAATTTCCCATTGGTGACTGGTAAAAAGTGTGATGGTTGATACACATTGATACTATGAACATGGTCATGTTTCTGGCTTCAATTCCGCAGCAATTTAGATCGGGTTTCTGCAGGCACTTGGGCTCAGTGACTCAGTGGCCTTGAACCCAAAGTGATGCATCGGATGAAACATATGAAGCAGGAATGGTACATTGGTTAAAGAACCATGCGGATAATGTGCACATATGTGTTCGAAAGCCATAGCAGCTAGCAGGCAGACTCTGAATAGAGCGGTGTTTGAACAGGACCTGTTTTCTTCCTTCTTCCCCTTGTTTTGCTTCCAAGCTGAAAAAGCCATGGATATATCGCTGCTTGGCTGAATAACGTGACTAGAGTGTGTTCAAAGATTTAGGTACTCGCTGTAAATTAAGCCCAACTCATTTCAAACAATTCGATGAAAAGGGGAGTAACTGTTTCAGTAAGTGCCCTAAAAGAATAAAAATGACTTTCTTCGAGTGATCCCCACCCATTGTGACTCTATCTGACATATATTCTGACAGTCTATCTGGCATTCTATCTGACATTCTATTTGGCATTCTGTCTGACATTTTATTTGGCATATATTCTGGCATTCTACATGGCTCTCTATGGCATATGTTCGGGTCCATGCGTTTCCAGCTGCCTCCAGCGCTCGTGATATGGAGTTCGGGTCCAGGCGTGACTGCTGTCAGAGCTGGCGATGGGGCGGAGTGACTGAGTGAGAGGGTCGGAGTGAGGCACACCTTTGTTTAAATCTAGGGACCCTCACCTGGCAGGTGAGGAACAATATCATGAAGAGTCATGGATTGAACACACACAGATATGTATATATATATATACACATCATTCCAGTTGTCGTTGGGTCTGTCCTACATGATATTCGTTGCCATCCGGCAATCTGTCGGTTTTTTTAAAGGAGATATGCATAAAGTTTTGGCATCAACAACTTTCGCCATGTTCATCAGGCTGTGAGAGTAAGGGTATAGTTTTTGCCCCAAGGCACACAGGTTCCCACTTGGACGTGTTATCCTAGAAGCTGATTGGCACACAGTGCACATGTGATGAAAACTCATTGAAACGTGTATTGGCTGATTAGATCCTAATAAATCCGTTTAAATCACTTTAGAAAAATGTGAAATCACCATTAAATCCAACAAAAACACCATTTGGATGCATACTAAATTAAGCATCAAGGAATCCTTACCATCAACGCAATCCAAGTTTTACGTCGTCCAACCCCTCGAGGCTGACAGAGCATTACCGGCAACATCGGTCCCCTCAGATCCTTGGCGATGTGAGTTTTTTAAAGATTAATGGTGGTTAATAGTGGTTAATAGTGATCCTCAGATCAGTGGTTTATAGTGGTTAATAGTGGTTATGGTTAATAGTGATCCTCAGATCAGTGGTTCATAGTGGTTAATAGTGATTAATGATGGTTGATATTGCTTCAATGGATTGGTTTTCACGGGAAAATTTTCACCGGAAACCCATGGGTTTTTACTATCAAATATAGGGATTTCCGGTAAATTTTCCCATCATCCAATTCTATGATTGTTTGATTGGTTGGGACATAGGGGACTTATACTAATATATGACCATAGTAACTAGGGAAACCAAATGTAACCAAGTAGTATAATTAATGAGATGGGACAGGCTACTTTTTAATCGTTGATGTGCACATTTTCACACAATGACTGTGTCCTCACGTCCATCGACTTTCTTAAAGAACGGAGAGGGTTGGAATGATAAGGAGTTCTTGACTGCATCAGCCAACTAACAAGCGTATTGCAACCACATTTCATCATTTTCACCTTTCGTTCCTTTCGATGTTCAATGAACATTTCTATAAACATGTCAATTGCATTTATCATCATTTACCATGTGTTTATCCATCATTTCTATGATGTTCATGGCATTTACAATGCTTTTGCCAGCCTTTTTTCAAGCTGCCAGGGTCAGTGCACTTGCAGTGCTGGCGTGGGCCTTGATCTTTTCCCTGTATGCCTTGCTTCTGAAGTTTGTGCTGCTGCGCAAAGCGCTGCCCATGAGCGAAGCGGCCAAGAGCAGAGGCCCCGGGCAGGGCATGTTGAGATCATGTCAGCAATATTCAGCAATTAAGCATGGATTAATTACTAGAACAATATAGAATAATCATATAATATATATAGAACATACTCACATACTTTGAATATATAGTGTAACCATTTAATTTATACATATATCATATATATATATATATATGCATATACAAATAATATAATCAGATGATATCAAATTTTAATCATTATAATAATAATAATAATCATAATAATAATTATATATATATTTACAATTATATATATATGCATATTTCTTCATTTATTTATTTATTGAAAAATCATATTGCATAATCATTGAATCATTGAAGTAGACGTTTTCTCCATCACCCGTATGGCTTGAGTCGGGATCATGGGATGACCCTACAGCCGCTCCTTCTGCGGCGGTTTTTCGATGTTTTTCGCAGTGCTGTGAAGAGTCAAAGCTCCAAATCCTAGGATTTTCCTCCTGATATCATAGCAGTTTCCGAAAGCTTCACAGATTTCATGGGCTTCCCAGGTTTGCACATCAGGTTGCACATCACCATACATTGGGTGAACCATGAGCCACCTCTTTCACCACCTCTGCGCAGGTACCTCCCGCGTGGAGTTCGCCGAAAATGTGGCCTCCTGCATTGTGGCGATTTCGCAGCTGGGCGGAGGATGTTGGCTGGAAACCAGCAAGAGGGGGGTTAGCAACACTTCGGATGCATCTGAAGCATGAAGTTTGCTGGTCTAGGACTTGAATCCGAAGTTTTTGACCAGTGTTCAATATGCAGTATGAATAAGAGTTGACCAGCACAACTGCATGTTGAATCAACATTATATGATATAATCCTGTATGTTGATTTATATTTGGATATATATATATATATACAGAACAGCATATAGGATCACTGGATGATCTATGGCACTGTGGGTCAAAGTTGATCCTGTAAGTTCATCCATAGTCGCTATGCTTGTAGGCATGTCCAATGACCGTTTCGGATCCGACGGTAGAGAATAAACGTAGATCGAGATGGAAAAGCTGGCGAAATTTTTGTGTGTTCCGTGGGAAAGCCATGGATGGAACAGCGAACCAAACGCGAACAGCGAACCGCGCCCAGGACGCACATCTACTTGGGCCCAGCTGCTTTGATGCTGTCGTTACATCACCAGTTCCAAGGCGGGCTGCCTGTGGGTTGGCATCTTTTTTGGGGGGGCTTGAACTCGCCATATGATGTGAAATATGCTATGAAGATTGGAAAGAAATTGGGATGCAACTCCAAGTTTTGGGGGGCCAAACTTGGCGAAGCATAGGTAAACCTTTTTTGATGGGCACTTTGGCATACTTTAGCATAATGGTCTCATCTTTTGCTATACATTGGTATATACTTATTATATAATATTATATACTAAGCAACTCATCGAAGTGAAGATTGGCAATGATGGCCCTGGACCCAGCGTGCTCCAGGGCATAGTTACCCAGACTTGTTAGAGGCTTCCAAGTTTCACAAACCGTTTTTGCACCACAGTAATTCCCCACCTGCCAGGTGAGGGTTGTTAGATTTTATGTCAGTTGCCTCCTCCTCCTGCTCCTCCTCCTGCTCCTCCTCCTCCTCTCCTCCTCCTCCTCGTCCTCCTCGTCGTCCTCGTCGTCCTCGTCGTCCTTGCTCAACTGCGACCCGCGATCCACAGTGTTCGCTGCCGGACCTCAACCACGACCATCCACGCCCAGTGTTCCCTGCCGGACCTCAACCACGACCATCCGCGCCCAGTGTTTCCTGCCGGACCTCAACCACGACCATCCGCGCCCAGTGTTCCCTGCCGGAC